CGTGATGGACTTGCAATCTAGCTTAGAGGTTCCTGAGCCCTAAGATAAAGATAAAGGAAGTAAGATCAGGGAAATGAGGCCAAGAAATAGCAAGGCAGGTGGAAAGAAGGGGAAGAAAGACGAGAAGGTAGTGGAGGGCAGATCCTAGCAATTTCTGTTAGGTAATAAAGAAAAAAAAAAATCTCCTGCCACCAGCCATGGATGAGCTCATCCATCTCAGCATCTAAAGCAGAAAGTGCCAGAGCGGGAGAGGTTTTGCATTTCATTTTTTTCAGCTGAGGAAATTGATACAGGAGACCTCTAGTGGCTTCTCCTAGGTCTCTCAGGCTGTCGCAGACGCAGAGCCATGGCCAGGCCCCTGGTCTCCTGGCACAGGGGCCTGATAATTTCCACCACACCACATCATGGAGATTATTAACCTCAGTGACGGACGATGGTGCTATTAACAGCTGCGGTCACCGTCCAGTTATTTAGCAACACTGCCACCCCGGGAGCCATCTTAGCTTGGTGACTTGAAGGGTACGCTGCCCTGATCATGTGAGCCTCAGAGGAATGGAAAATTCCCGGCCCCGGTGAACAACACACCCTCCAGCTATCCTTCTTCATCAGCCCTGCCTTCAGAGGCTCCCAGGCCCTGCTGTCCCACCACCAGTTAATATTTCACTTTGGTGAGACTTCAGGGAACAAAGAACACGGAGCTGGCCTTGAGGGGCCAAAGGTAGGCAGACCGGTGATTCCTGATGCAGCTGTAAATAAGAACGGTGCAAATGTACTTTGGATAAGAACGCAGCTCAGCCTCCCGAGGAACAGCTGGGGAAGCTATTCATAGGGTGGTATGCTATTTGCGACCGTCAGCCTGGCATTTGAATGAGGCTCACCTAACTGTGCTGCCTTCCCCGCAGATGTGACTCATGCTCCTCATTTCCCCGAGTGAGGAGTGGCCAGGGGCAAAGGAGAATGCTCCTCAAGGCTAGCCCAGGGAGACCTGGGGGCCAGGAGCGCCATTTCCAAGGAGGCCTCCTACCCCTGGCGGGGAGGGCGAAGGACACAGAAAGCTCCTTTGGTAGTAATATCAGCCTGATCTCCCTCTGGGTTTCTCCCTGGACCCTTCCTAATGTCCCCTTCATCTTTGCCATTGTCAAGCACAGGGGACATTCCATAACCCTTCCCCACTCGTGGCTCAGCTCGCCTCTCAATCCTGAGGACTGGGAAAGGCCAATCCCAGCACCATGGGAAGGCCAGTCCCAGAGGTCACGGTGCCCTTCACATCACCTGCTTTCTGACCACCACACTGCAGAGCTCACACTGGAACTGAACACCACAGGAGCACGTGAGATGCAGTGGAGTGATTCTTACCCATAATTAGCTTGTCCTCCTGTGAACATCCTCCACCCGTGTTCCTGCCTCCCAGGGAGTCCTGTGTATTCCTGGCCTGGTCATGAGCCAAGGGCACATCAGAAGCAGGGCCTACTGTGGTCCAAAGTGGCCTGGGGGGGGTCAGACCCTCATCTAAGGATCCCTACAGGTGGAGGGGTCCCAGGACCTGTCTAGAGAGTCAGCCTCCACTCCACAGCCAGCCCCAAGATTCATATATCAGTCTCAGGCCCGAGAGAAAAACTCCAGCTCTATGTCAAAAAGCAAAGTGACCTTGGGAGTCCATCAGACCCAGGCATTAGGAAAGGGCAAAATCTTTCTCCCCGCGATGACTTTCCTTCATGGCTCTGGATCCCTCTCCCTGGCCCCCTGCCCACCATGTTGCTGGAAGCTGCAGTCAAAGGGGTCTCTGTACACTGAGAAAATACTGAGCTGTGGTCTGGTGGTTTATATCAGGGAAGGCTCAGCTCCCCAGGCCGACCACAAGCTCTGCCTGGATCTCTGCACCCCCACACGGCAACCCCCAGCCAGCATGAAAGCAAGGACTTTGTGTGTCCTTGACACCTGAGCTGGCCTTTTGACTACTCGATTGCTCTGGGCAGAGAGGAAACTCTGATCTCTGCATTTCTGAAGGGCTTAGTGCTGACTTTGACACAGGGTATGCATGTAGTGGTGTTGTTAATTCGAATTGTCCGATTTCAGTAAAGAACTTTCTAAATGAGTCGACCTTACATTAATGGGCCCAAGAGGGTATATGCTATAGATACATGAACTGATACCAATTTCACCTTCAAGACACTAGCAACCTTTAGAAATAATATTTCTTAAAAAATATTTCTTAAAAATATTTCTTCCTCCTGAGCAAAAATGATCCATGTATGGGGGATTTGGCACATGAGCTGGTCTTCTTAGCAGAAGGGATCCGTTTCCTGCTAGATCATTGTTATTCCACTCCCTACTACGTACCAGGCACTGTACTATGTGCTGATTATTCAAAGAAAAACAAGGTGCTGCCTGGGTTGAAGCCAGTTTCTCAAGGGGCTCGTTACACTGGATCAAAACTGTTTTAGAAACACGGCCTGAAGCTCTGTAAGAGACAGGCAGCAGCAGATAAATCTTCCCTGATGGAGGACGGGAGGGCAAGGCGAGAGGAGGTTTCCCGGAGGAGAGGACATTTGAAGGATGGAAAGATCCATACGGACAATGGAGTCTTCTCGGCTGGAGAATAGTAATGAAAACATCCCACGTCAGCTGCACTTTGGGAAAGGAAAGATTCCCCCACTCTCACTGTGGCATGATAGCAGACCAAGGTCAGGGTGACAACTTTGGCCAGGGAACGGGGCATTTGCTTCTAAGTCAGCCTGTCCCAAGGGCTCTTCCTGCCTGAAAATAGCTGCCCGGATTCATTTCTCCTATCAGTCCCAGAGGCCACAGACGGGGAAACAGGCTCTGTCCACGTGCAGAGCAGAGCTGTATCTGGAAAGTCGGGCTATAACACAGGGGACAGCCTTGGGCACTGGCAGGAGGCCAGGCCTAACCACACCTCCAGGTCCAACCAGCTACGTTTGGACAGACCCTCTCTGGTTGTTTCCACCTCATGTGACCGAAAGCCTTATCATAATAACAGCTGTAAAAATGCCAAACTTTAACCTTATTAAAGTCACACTGTTCTGGTTTGGCAACCCTAATGGGATTTTGCAACTCAGAATCCTCAATCAGAGTTCTTGAACAGCCCCAGGTCTCCTGGGCCTGCCATGGGGGCCTGCAGAGAGGGGAGCCCACCCACAGTCCCACCCCACCCCGGGTCCATCCACGACCCATTCTCAGGGTGGCCACCAAAAAAACCGCCTATTTGTTACTCATGGAAATGAAGAGAGTTCCACTGTCCTAGACCCCAAGGAGGGTGCCTGAGGGTCCCCGCAGCACTCCCCAGCTGACAGGGTCTTTTCCTCTGGATGAATGAAGCACAGTGGAACTTGTAGCTGTTGTTGTGATGATTAATATGTCAAATCGGTATCACAGGAAAGGAAAGCAGGAGAGTGATATGTGAGGGGGGGAGGAGAAGGGAAGGAGAGAGAGAAAGCCAAGCCCAAGAAGGAAAAGGGGAAAGAACAAGGGGAGGGCAGAGAGGTGGGGAGGGTGGCCACACTAGCCCCAACGAGGCTGCATCCAACAGGCCAGAGGGCTGTGGGGGTGTCTCCTGCCCAAGGTCACCTTGGTGGGAACGTGGTTTAGTCGGTTGCTGAGGAGAGGTCTCCCGGGAGCCAGTTAGTAACAGAAGTTTCTGGATGCTGGGGAGTCATGGACCTGACATATTTGAGGAAATGTGTTTTTTTTCCCCCAGAATAAAATGCACAAAAAGACATTTTTGCATCCGGTGTTAGAAAGTTCACTGAGTCCCTAGACCTCCGTAAAAGAACAGAAACAAAAAAGCCTTGTGTTCATCGGATGGTGTTTCCGCAGCTGGGACTGTGTCACCTCTGTTCGCAGCACCTCTGCAACGTGATGCCTTTCCCAAACAAGTTTGGGAAGGTGACAATGGCGTCAGCCACAGCACGCTTCCGCTCTGCTGAGCCTCTGCTCTGTCCTGAGGCCTGACCCTCCTGGCCACCTACAGGCCCACCCCGAAGTAGCTTCTGGGAGAAGGTCCCCTTGCCGACTCCGGGCAGTGTAGGTGGCCTAGGTGAAGTCTGTCTGTGCTGTGCGAGAATGCGTTCCGGGGTCATGAGATCATTCCACAGATGGTCCAAGGGATGCCTGGTCAAAATGCCTGGGGGAAAGACATTTGCAGTGCAAAGGAATCCTTCAAAACCAAGGCTCCACCCTCCAGCTAATTATTTCTACCGGGTTGTATTAGAAGTCCTCATTTTCTTTATAATCAGAAACTGGCTCGACGTAAACATCATCGACTATGGAATTCTCTTGTCACTTTCAACAGGGTCTGGATTTCCTCTCCTCTTTCTGGGTCTAATCCAAACAAGGTGACAGGCCAGCGTAATCCAACTTTACTAAAGCCCCTCGACTCTCCTGTGGATTGTTATACGTGTTGCTTCTCCAATGCAGAAGGGGAAAATCAGGTTCTGTAGGGCCTTCCAAAGGTGACATTATCTCTGGATGGGAAACGGAACGATGATAAACCATGAAGACTGGTTCACATGGTCGGCAGAGGAAAAAGTCTTTTGATAAATCTTACTTTTAGTTATATTTTTAAACGCTTCATTTTGAGATAATTACAATTGTGCAAAACAAATGGCAAAAAAAAAATCTGAGAGGATAACAGCATCTAAAAGGTGGAAAACTAAAATTGCCACCAGTAAATGAGTGGACAAACAGAATATGGTGCATACATACTATGGGATGTTGTTCAGTCTTAAAAAGGAAGGAAATTCTGATGGATGAACCCCTCAGACATTCAGTGAAGGGAGACAATCCAGTCATAAATCAACAAATATTGTATGATGTCATTTATACGAGATACCTAGAAGAGTCAAATTCAAAGAAATGGAAAGTAGAATGGTGGTTTTCAGGGGTTGGGGGAGAGAGAGTAGGGAGTTGTTTAATGGGTATGGATTTTCAGTCTGGGATGGTCAAAAGTTCAGGAGGTGGAAGGTCAAGTCTGTTGTACCATAATGTAAAGTAATTAATCCCACCTGTTAGTCAGCTTTCCATTACTGCGACAAAATACTAGAAAGAATCAACTTATAAGACAGAAAGTCTTATTTGGGCTCCCAGACTTCAGAGGTCTTTCTTAGTCCATGATCGCTGGTTCCATTGCTTTTGGACCTGTGGTAAGGAGCACATGGTGAAGGAAACAGATAAACTCAAGGCGGCCAGGAATCAAAGAGAGAAACATGCAGGGGCCCAAGTCCCCATGTCCCCTCCAAGGGCACACCCTTAGTCACCTAAATTCCTAAATGTTCCACCACCTCCCAATAGCACTCCAAGCCTTCAACACATGGCTTCTATGGAATACTTAAGATCAAAGTTTTAGCGCCACCAAACTGTGTATGTAAAAAATAATTAAAACAGTAAAATTTATGTTACAGGTATTTTACCACCATAAAAATGGTACAAGGAAGTCCCCACACACTCTTCACCCTGCCACCTTGTATAATGATAGTGCACTATCAAAACCAGGAAATTGATATTGGTACAATTCAAAGCTAATTTGGGCTACTAGTTTTACAGGTACTCTGTGTGTGTGTGTGTGTGTGTGTGTGTGTGTGTGGCTTTATACAATTTTATCACCTATGCAGCAGTGCCTAACCACATTCAACATCCCTAATTGCTTCATCACCACAGGGTTTCCTAGTACTGGTCTTCCGTGGCCACACCCAGTGGCCTAATTCCTAATTCCTGTCACTAAGGGGGTTCTTCATCTCCAGAATCTCTGCATTTCAAGAATGCCACAGAGCCGGGTGTAGTGGCCCATGCCTGTAATCCCAGCAGCTCAGGAGCCTGAGGCAGGAGGATCATGAATTGGAGAGCAGCCTCAGCAACT